AACACGTGATTCAACGTAAAAGTGAGGCCACACCGGTCAAAAAATGTTTTTCTAAGGGTCCCGTGTAAACGAAAGGCGGATCCGTGCACTTTTTTGTCGTCCGTTCAAAAATTTGTCCGTAACCGTATAAACGGGCTCTACTAGCCTGGTTGACCGGTTGAGTATTAGACAAATTAGATTTTAACAGAATTCCAAAATGCGTCTCTTGTTGTTAGATGTAAATGAGAGCTTACCGTAAACTGCCGCATATCAGCTCTGAAGCTTCGTAGGGGTGTTAGGAGCGAGGGATTATGAACAGAGGGGCCTGTATCCGAGGGGGATTATAACCAGAATAAAAAAAAGTCTTCGAAAGAATCTATAGCAGTGCTGATCAAAACATGTTTTTTTTTCTGTTTTTAATTCAAGCTCAGTGAAAATGCCGGACATTATGAATAGAATTCATTTCAATACAATCGGGGGGGGGGCTAATATCCGATGGGGCTTATAAAGAATGTTTTTTTATTAGGGGTACCGTAGAAGGCCTATAAATGGGGAGGTTTATAAGAAGAGGGAATTATGAGCGGTAGTTTACGGTATTCGTATACAACAAATTGAACAAAGCAAAATTATCATCATTGAGCGACCTTGAATTAAGGTTCAATTCTTACAAAGTTCCATACCGCAATTGCGCATCCCGACTCAAACAGAAACAAATTTACAGTGTGTAGTGGAAAGAGTATTGCTAATTATGTTGTGATCATATCATTGCATCCACCATCGTCATTAAGCGTTATCTAACCATTATAAACCGCATATCTGTGTTGACTGAATCATGGCCGTGAAAAAGCATGTTCAATAGACTGAACTGAAACCAAACTACAACCAAACCAAGAATTATTCGGCTACAAATGTGAGCAAAACTCCAGGGAGAAACTGAAACCGAACTGTAACTCGCGAACCCGCAGCGTTTGTACCACTGCTCATAAGCCATTTTCCAAGGTCCCCTATGCATTGCCTGGTAAAGTACTGTTGTTTATTTTTTGGGGCTCTCTGTATAGACGCCATTTGTAACTCCATTTATCCTTGCATGTGTTTATACATGTGATAAAGATATCCACAATGATCGTAGCAGTATTCATCACACATCCAGCAAGTGAATCTTTCTTTGTCTCTAGCAGATCGTTTCTCACAATCGTGCCTCTTCAAAGCATTGTCATCAGTGAAATCTTTACCACATGATTCACATTCGTGCGGTGAATCAGAATGGAATTTTCTTTTGTGATAAAACAATGTCTGTTTCCGGGTGAAACATTTTTCACACTGAGTACACTGGAAGGGTCTTTCTCCACTGTGTATCCGCAAATGGTCTTGGAGGTGAGATGATAGTCGGAAACATTTTTCACACTGAGTACATTTGAAGGGCCTTTCATTAGTATGTATTAACAAGTGTCTTTTCAAATCTGATGACCGTCTGAAACACTTGTCACACTGAGTACATTTGAAGGGCCTTTCATTAGTATGTATTAACAAGTGTCTTTTCAAATCTGTTGACCATCTGAAACACTTGTCACACTGAGTACATTTGAAGGGCCTTTCATTAGTATGTATTAACAAGTGTCTTTTCAAATCTGTTGACCATCTGAAACACTTGTCACACTGAGTACATTTGTAGGGTTTTTCTCCACTGTGTATCCGCAGATGGCGTTGCAAGTGATATGACGTTCGGAAACATTTTTTGCACCGAGGACATTTGAAGGGCCTTTGATTGTTATGTATCAACAAGTGCCTTTTCAAATCTCCTGATTGTCTGAAACACTTTTTACACTGAGTACATTTGTAGGGTTTTTCTCCACTGTGTATCCGCAGATGGTCTTGCAAGGTGGATGAGCATCGGAAACACTTTTTACACCGAGTACACTTGAAGGGTCTTTCTCCACTGTGTACCCGCAGATGGTCTTGTAAGTGACATGATTGTCGGAAACATTTTTTACACCGAGTACACTTGTAGGGCCTTTCACCACTGTGTACTCTGAGGTGATAGTATAAACCTTGTGTTTGTTTAAAGCACTTGTTACATTGGCTACACTTGTAGGGCCTCTGTTCACTGTGAATTTTCATGTGCACATTTAGAGCTGACTTTGTATTAAAAGCCTTTTTACAGGTACTGCACTTGAATGACTTTCTTCGAGTCCTCTTCTCCGCGGCCATGTCTAACATTTAAAAAGCAAGAAAAAGGAACGTTTTGCTTGAGGTTTTACTGGCGAAATTTTTTGTGTGGGTTCTTTGTACCGGTTGGTTGTTTGGGTTATCTTACAAAATGTCGCATTTTTCGAAGCTGGAGAGTCAACTATATGAGTATTTGACTGTAAGAGCTAAAAAAAATAACAATTTCTAATAGTTTCAAACAAATATTCCTTTTCCATTATATCATCCTCTTTCAATTTATCCTGGTTAATTTTTAACTACAATTTTCTTAGTTTGATTCTCATCAAATTCGATATCCTGTTCTCAGGTGTGGCTATTGTTGGTTTTCACCTGATGTCACTAAAATTCAAACTACAAACTATCGATCCTTCCGAGATTTTACTTTCACGATGTATTAGAGCAGCGGAAAACTAATTTTCATACAAATTTTCGCTTCAAAAGAGTTGTTGGTTTTGTGATGGAGTACGCTTGAATTCCTAAGCTTTTGCGTGACGCGTCATTTACATAACGGCCAAGAGAGATGTCATGTAGATTAAAAAATGACTTATTTCAGGGAATTTTGCTATCTAAACAGTTTATGCATTAGAAAAGTATTACTTGTAATGTTTGTGAGTTCCTCGAAGAATAAATTCACGCTTTTGTAGCAAAACTCGCTAACAGATGTTTCTGTTAGTTTCCGTCCACCATGTTGGTGCCCATCCGGATGAGCACCAGCATGGCGTCTCCATACAAATCTCTATAAATTTGGATAAAACATTTCTTCCGATATCTCGTATACGAAATATTCCTCTGACCTGAATCTTGGCGAGGGTCTTTGCATATTTACCTTCTTTCATTTCCCAGATTCTGGACTTTGTTAATCGAACGGTTTTGATTTTTATTTTGATCTATTTTGAATGGCGTGATACTGAAAACCAGCAATATCCAAAGCTTGTATCAGTGAATCGATCAGAATAAATGAAGTCTAAAAATTAAAATTACCTTGCCTTTTCTAGCTGATTTAAGTAGCATTATGTCGAGCTTTGCACCTGGAGGTAACACTGACAAACTCCACAAAATACCATTCCTGAAATGGCACAGGTAAGATCGGAGAACGAATTTGATGACAAACAGACGAATTTTCAGTTAAAAATAAACCAGGACAAATGTATAGCCAATGATATGATGGTAAAATAATATTTACTGGAACTATTTAGATATTTTTTTGACCCTTGTTAGTCAATATGATACAGTCGACTGTCCAGCTCCGATGCTCTTTTGTTGATCTATAATGTATTATGAATCATTGATCTGCAGTACGTCGATGCTGTCCGTGATGTAACTGTTGAACATGTGTTTTGCTAGTAGACAAACATACGAAACACGCTACCTATCGCTTTAGTAATAGGAGTGTTTTTTTAGGTGTCAGTTTACATGCAACATTCCACGGGTCAAAATACACCTCAGTCACCGTACTCCAGTTAAATAAACATTGTAGCTCCTGGTCCTAACCCTTATCGGCAAAAAACGTTGTTTTTTTTGTCCCAGGGGAAAACAGTGAGCGGTAATCGTGATCAGAGAAAAAACTGAGTTGCTGCCGCCCCGTTCGCTTAGAAAAATGTTAGCGTTTGGTCATGGGGTCACTCCTTGGGGTCACTTCTGGAAACATTCAGTTCTCACATATTAAAATCAGCTGTAAAATGGAAGAAACACAAAACGGTTAATACTTACCGTAATTTCCTTCAGTTCCGCAAAGTCTCCCCAATGCAGATAATCGATTGAATACAAGCGTGCATCGCAATGTGACCAACGATGAAAACAAAATGGCGGATTTGCCCGATCCTTGTGCCCAGGCCCTTTCATTAGGCTTTTGTACATTATGCTAGCATTTTTTCGAGCATTTTGAGGCAAAAGCATTGAGCATTATTCGAGCATTTTAGTGGCATTTTCCCGGAAAATTAAGTTTTTGAGAGAAAATAAAATAGAAATTAACTTTTTTCAGGAGCCCATGGCCATGGGCTCCTGCTTTTTTCAATGAAAATGAAGACTAAAACTCAAAATTCACGAAAAAACCTAATACAGCTGAGTGGAGACTGAGGACAAGTCAGCGGTTTTACCTTTCAAGACTCAAGAGTAAATTAATAAAAAAAAGCGTTTAAATAATGAGCATTATCCAAGCATTTTAGTGACTTTTTTGGGGACACCGAGCATTTCAGTGGGAGAAATGGAGCGTTAAGGTGAAGCATTTTAGTGGGGAAACAAAAGCATAATGTACAAAAGCCTACCTTTCATCTTATAAACTTGTAACGTCATTCTACAATCCTTGCAGACACAACAACAATGTAGTCTCCCTCGCAGTTGTTTTTAGTATCGTCACGCAACGCATGTGAGAGGAGCGTTACGTGACGATACTTAAACGGTTGCGAGGGAGACTAGCAACAATACGGCTGAAGGAGGCAAATCCATTAAGTATTGAACAAGTGAATTCCTTGCGTACCAGTGTATGTAAGAGTATGTTTATTGTGATTTATACCACACTAAAAATGCCGCTCAACATGGAGAAAACTGGAGCCGGATCGCTCTATAAATTATTGTGTAATTCAACTTTATTCTAAGAAATAAAACATGATCAACCGCCACCCATTGTTCTTCAGAGGGCAAAAGAAATAAACTATGATGTAAGCAAGCCTAACTCTTTTGCCGAAAACAATTTTGGAGCTAGGATTTCAAACAAAGGAAATTCTTCCCTTTTTTATTGAGTTCTGGTGAGGTGACGCTAGGAACTTGAAAACCGTCTTAAACAGTGCAAAATTTATTTTTAAAGCATTGAGCAACAGTTGTTGCTGCAAAGAAGGCGCTATTTTTACGTGTGCTAACGAAAAGGTCACTTTTGTGATTAAAAATACATATAGGCATTGTAATTGGTCAGCTTACTTGTAGCCTCGAAATATTTAGGGGGCAAGGCGTCCCACATGTCAGAAACATTCAATGAGAGACTTGGGCAAAAACCATCTCAACAATGTTTGTAGGTTGTGTTTTGGTAGATTTCCATCCATTTTGTTTCTTTTCAACGCATTAAACCGTTTGCAGTTTTGCACGATGACTTCTTTTATCACCCCATGTAGAGGAATAGGAATTCTGGAATCCAGGGTATCATTGTGGAATCCGGAACTGGTCTTTGGAAAACGGAATACAGCTCAAGGAGCCCGGAATCCCATTAAAGACTGGATACATGTGGCGATTTACAACTAAGAAAAAAATATATCGAAGAGACGCGTTCTTGGTTTTAAGAGACTGATAGAACTGGTAGATTCCATAATTTGGGGCAGCTATCACATCGACCTCCAAGCCCACGTACAAAACTTGCTTCCGTTATTTCTAGTTCATAAAAAGGTGTGAAGGGGATAAATAAGGAGGAAATGATTGCGCAACAATGCTTCACATCTCGGGGTCGAAAATGAGGCAAATGGAAAATGCCGAGAAAAAAAGGGACAGGATCCAGGAATGCAAGGTACGGAGGGCGGGAGATTTGGACCCCACCCTGTCCCCCCTAGTCTTAAGCAACGTAACAAGGGTACACATACTTAACTGTGTACTTTATTTTTAAGCACGCAACAGGAACAATACAATATTCAGCAACTTCAATGAACAACGTAAATGAAATGTCTGGACAATTTTTTAACGGAGGAGTTTAAACCTGTGCAATCATTTTACACGGAACCGTTGCGAGTATCAGCATTGGAATGTCTCTTTTCAAAGGCGCGTAGTCAGGCTCCTGGCTTTTACCACACAAACTGTGAATAAATTTGCATAATTCAGGTCTTAACACGTGATTCAACGTAAAAGTGAGGCCGCACCGGTCAAAAAATTCCAACAAATTGAACAAATCAAAATTATCATCATTGAGTGACTTTGAATTAAGATTCAAATCTTACAAAGTTCCATACCGCAATTACATATCCCAACTCACATAGAAACTAATTAATAACGTGTAGTGGTGTGAGTATTGCTAATTATGTTGTGATCATATCATTGCATCCACCATCGTCATGAAGCGTTATCTAACCATTATAAACCGCATATCTGTGTTGACTGAATCATGGCCGTAAAAAGGCATGTTCAATAGACCAAACTGAAACTACAACCAAACCAAGAATTATTCGGCTACAAATGTGTGCAAAACTGCATGGACGAACTGAAACTGAACAGTAACTCGCGAACCCGCAGCATTTGTACCACTGCTCATAAGCCATTTTCCAAAAGCACCCCATGCATTGCCTGGTAAAGTACTGTTGTTTATTTTTTGAGGCTCTCTGTATAGACACCATTTGTCACTCCATTTATCCTTGCATGTGTTTATACATGTGATAAAGATATCCACAATGATCGTAGCAGTATTCATCACACATCCAGCAAGTGAATCTTTCTTTGTCTCTAGCAGATCGTTTCTCGCAATCGTGCCTCTTCAAAGCATTGTCATCAGTGAAAGATTTACCGCATGATTCACATTCGTGCGGTGAATCAGAATGGTATTTTCTTTTGTGATAAAACAGTGTCTGTTTCCGGGTGAAACATTTTTCACACTGAGTACACTTGAAGGGTCTTTCTCCACTGTGTATCCGCAAATGGTCTTGCAAGTGAGAAGACTTTCTGAAACATTTTTTACACCGAGTACATTTGAAGGGCCTTTCCTTATTATGTATTAACAAGTGTTTTTTTAAATCTGATGATTGTCTGAAACACTTGTCACACTGAATACATTTGAAGGGTTTTTCTCCAATGTGTATCCGCAGATGGACTTGCAAGTGAGATGAGTGTCGGAAACATTTTTTACATCGAGTACATTTGAACGGCTTTTCATTAGTATGTATTAACATGTGCTCTTTCCAAACTGATGACCTAGGGAAACACTTGTCACACTGAGCACATTTGTAGGATTTTTCTCCTCTGTGTATCCGCAGATGGTTTTGTAAGTGAGATGATTGTCGGAAATATTTGTTACACTGGGCACACTTGTAGGGTCTCTCATCACTGTGTATTCTGAGGTGCTGGTTTAAGCTAGTGACCTGTTTAAAGCACTTGTTACATTGGCTACACTTGTAGGGTCTCTCATCACTGTGTACGCTGAGGTGATTGTATAAACCTGTTGCTTGTTTAAAGCACTTGTTACATTGGCTACACTTGTAGGGTCTCTCATCGTTGTGTACCCTGAGGTGATTGTATAAAACTGATGCTTGTTTAAAGCACTTGCTACATTGGCTACACTTGTAGGGCCTCTGTTTGCTGTGAATTTTCATGTGCACATTTAGAGCTGACTTTCCATTAAAAGCCTTTTTACAGGTGCTGCATTTGAATGACTTTCTTCGAGTCCTCTTCTCCGCGGCCATGTCTGACATTTTAAAAGCAAGAAAAAGGAAGGTTTTGGTTGAGTTTTTACCGGCGACATTTTTTGTGTGGGTTCTTTGAACCGGTTGGTTGTTTGGGTTATCTTACAAAATGCCGAATTTTTCGAAGCTGGAGAGTCAACTATATCAGTATTTGACTATGAGAGCTTAAAAAAACAATAATTTCTAATAGTTTCAAACAAATATTCCTTTTCCATTATATCATCCTCTTTCAATTTATCCTGGTTAATTTTTAACTAAAATTTTCTTAGTTTGACTCTCATCAAATTCGATGTCCTGTTCTCAGGTGTGGCTATTGTTGGTTTTCACCTGATGTCACTAAAATTCAAACTACAAACTATCGATCCTACCGAGATTTTACTTTCACGATGTTTTGCGTGACGCGTCATTTACATAACGGCCAAGAGAGATGTCATGTAGATTAAAAAATGACTTATTTCAGGGAATTTTGCTATCTAAACAGTTTATCCATTAGAAAAAGTATTACTCTAATGTTTATGAGTTTCTCGAAGAATAAATTCACGGTGTAGTAGCAAAACTCGGTAACAGATGTTTCTGTTGGTTTCCGTCCACCATGTTGGTGCCCATCCGGATGAGCACCAGCATGGCGTCTCCATACAAACCTCTATAAATTTGGAAAAAACATTTCTTCCGATATCTCGTATACGAAATATTCCTCTGACCTGAATCTTCGCGAGGGTCTTTGCATATTTACCTTCTTTCATTTCCCAGATTCTGGACTTTGTTAATTGAACGGTTTTGATTTTTATTTTAATCTATTTTAAATGGCGTGATACTGAAAACCAGCAAAATCCAAAGCTTGTATCAGTGAATCGATCAGAATAAATGAAGCCTAAAAATTAAAATTACCTTGCCGTTTCTGGCTGATTTACGTAGCATTATGTCGAGTTTTGCACCTGGAGGTTACACTGCAGAGAACTCCACAAAATGCCATTCCGGATCAATTAGTTGATACAAGCTTAAGATGAAATGGCACAGGTAAGATCAGAGAACGAATTTGATGACAAACAGAGGAATTTTCAGTTAAAAATAAACCAGGACAAATGTATAGCCAATGGTAAAATAATATTTACTGAAACTATTTAGATGTTTTTTTGACCCCTTGTTAGTCATATACAGTTGACTGTCCAGCTCCGATGCTCTTTTGTTGATCTATAGTGTATTATCAATCATTGATCTGCAGTACGTCTATGCCGCCCGTGATGTAACTGTTGAACATGTGTTTTGCTAGTAGACAAACATACGAAACACGCTAGCTATCGCTTTAGTAATAGGAGTGTTTTTTTAGGTGTCAGTTCACATGTAACTTTCTACAGGGTCAAAATACAGCTCAGGTCACCGTGCTCCAGTTAGATGAACATTGTAGCTCCTGGTCCTAACCATTATCGGAAAAAAAAATGTTGTTTTTGTCCCTGGGGAAAACAGTGACCGGTAATCGTGATCAGAGAAACTGAGTTGCTGCCGCCTCTTTCGCTTTGAAAAATGCTAGCGTTTGGTCATGGGGTCACTCCTTGGGGTCAAGAACAAGAAGTCCGAAGACTACAGCAAAGCTGATTTTCTGGAAACATTCAATTCTCACATAAAATGGAAGAAACACAAAACGGTTAATACTTACCGTTATTTCCTTCAGTTCCGAGAAATCTGCCCAATGCAGATAATCGATTGAATACAAGCGTGTTGAGGTAGGAGGAACGATCGCAATGTGACCAGGAATCAAAACAAAATGGCGGATTTGCCCGATCCTTGTGCCCAGGCCCTTTTATCATATATACTTGTGACGTCATTCCACAATCAACAATGTGATCTCGTATCGTCGCGCAACGCTCCTCCCTACAAAGTTTGTGGGGAGAAGCGTTGCGTGACGATACTAAAAAGGGCTGCGAGGGAGACTAACAACAATGTGGCTGAATCGGAGGAGGCAAATCCATCAAGTATTGAAGAAGTGAATTCCCTGGCTACCAGTGTATGTGAGAGTATGTTTATTGCCATTTATACCACACAAAAAATACAGCTCAACATGCAGGAAACTGGAGCCGGGTCGCTCTATAAATTATATTGTAGCTCAACTTTATTCTGAGAAATAAACCATGATAACCGGCCCATTGTTCTACATAGGGCAAAAGAAATAAACTATGATGTAAGCAAGCCTAACGTTTTTGCCGAAAACAATTTTGGAGCTAGGATTTCAAACAAACTGAAATTCTCCCCTTTTTTATTGAGTTCTGGTGAGGTGATATTAGGAACTTGAAAACCGTCTTACCACCGTTTTCCTTGATACGCGACTTTTCAAATCGAAACACCCGCTGAAACGTTTCCAAAATTTCCGTCAATCATACACGTCATACCATATATGGAAGTGTTACCGGTATTGTACGTGCTTCATAGTCTGCCGTGCTTCAATGACGTGATAAACTGTTTTTCTTCTTTTTCAAATATGAGACATGCAATATGTACCTTTCTTCTTCGTGTAAAGCCCATTTTCTTCAATAGCTTAGCGATCGTGGACACGTGAATTGTCTTTCCCAGTGCGAACTGTATCCATTCCTGTATTTCATCCTCGTAAATCTCTGGATATTGCTGGATTACCCTTCTTATGAATAACACGTCCTGTGCTAAGTCCAGGTGAGAAAAACAATGGTTATGTATTCGTTTGATACAATTAGGCTCATTTAGAGAAGTGATTACAAGAACCTCAGTTCAAATCGTAAGCTTACTTACCTTCCAACTTCTCACTCTACCCGGCCGTAATTGATAATGAACTGTTTTTGTGTTCTGGCAAAGATTTCGAATCTTTTTTACAAACGTCTTCCCTACATGAAGTAGTCTAGCAACACGTTCGACAGTAAATCCCTGAACGAGTAAATACACTATACTCGCCAATGCAAATTTAACGAATAACTTGCCACCATGTTTACATGTAACTTCGACCGGCCGCCATATTTTAAATTTTCAGGCCCAGTCCAACACTTCCATATATGGTATGACGAGTATGATTGACGGAAATTTTGGAAACGTTTCAGCGGGTGTTTTGATTTGGAAAGTCGCGTATCAAGGAAAACGGTGGTAAACGGTGCAAAATTTCTTTTTAAAGCATTAAGCGACAGATGTTACCGCAAAGAAGGCGCTATGTTTACGTGCGCTAAAGAAAAGCTCACTTTTGTGATTAAAAATACAGGCATTGTCTGCTTCCTTGAGGTCTTTAGATATTTAGGGGGAAAGCCATCTCACGTGTCAGAAACATTCAATGAGAGACGTGTGCAAAAACCCCCCCAACAAATAAGGTCACGTCTGTAGGTTGTGTTTGGTAGATTTCCATCCATTCTGTTTCTTTTCATCGCAATAAACCATTTGCAGTTTTGCACGATGACTTCTTTTATCGCCCCGTGTAGATGAATAGGGATTCTGGAATCAGGGATATCAGTTTTGTTTGTGGAATCCGGAATCCTGGGCTTTGGAAAAAAGGAATACAGTTCAAGGAACCCGAAATCCCATTAACGACTGGATACATGAGGCGATTTTTACAACTAAGACCACAATTCCTTTTTTTTTTCTCTCATATTTGACTTTGGAAATGCCAGCAAAGCAACAAGTGGGGTACGATGCAATATCATTATCGGCCAGCCTCAATTCTCAAATCTGTTCTTAATACCTTGTCTTAATAGCTAACCAGATGGCGAGAAATTCCCCCCGGCTATGTCATTCAGATTCTTCTCAAAATCCTAAAAAAACATTGCTGGTAAAACCTAATAATCCAGAGAGACAAAAAATCAATCGAAGAGAGTCGTTCTTAATTTTAAGAGACTGATAGAACTGGTCTATTTCATAATTTGGGGCAGCTATCAGATCGACCTTCGAGCTGCTTACAAAACTTGCTTCCATTATTTGCAGTTCATGAAAGGTGTAAAGGAATAAATAGGGCAAATAGGGGGGAAATGATTACGCAACAATGCTTCACATTTCGCGGTCGAAAATCAGCCAAAGAAAAAAGGCCCAGAAAAAAAGGGACGGGATCCAGGATTGCAAGGTAAGGAGGGCGGGAGATTTGGACACCACCCTGTCCTCGCTAGTCTTAAGCAACGTAACAACGGTACGTGCACGCAACAGGAACAATACAATATTCAGCAACTTCAATGAACAGCGTAAATAAAATGTCTGGACAATTTTTTAACGGAGGAATTCTAAACCTGTGCAATCCTTTTACACGGAACCGTTGCCAGTTGTCTCTTTTTATCAAAGGCGCGTAGTTTTTCCACACAAACTGTGAAACAGTTCAGGTCTTAATTTGTCCGTACCCGTATAAACGGGCTCTTAGGCTACGTATACCACCCTGGTATTGAATATGAGACAAATTAGATTTTAAAAGAACTCCAAAATGCGTTTCTTGTTGTTACCAGTAAATGAGAGCTTACCGTAAACTACCGCTTTTAGGCCCTGACGCTTAGTTAGGGGTGTTAGAAGGGCTTATAAACAGAGCGGCTTGTATCCGAGGGGGTTATACCCGGAGTAAAGAAAATGGCTTCAAAAGAAGCTAATGATGTTAATATAAGCTTAGTAAAAGTGACAATACAAATCGAATTCATTTGTGCTCATCAATAATATTATAAAGGATGCGTTTGTTAGGGGTAGAAGGCCTATAACTGGGGAGGGTTATAAGAAGAGGAGTTATGAGGGCGGTTGTTTACGGTAACTGTATACAACAACTCAGAACAATACAAAATTGCCACCGTTGAGCGACTTCGAATTAAAGTTCCAATCTTACAAAGTTCCATACCGCAATTACATATCCCAACTCAAATAGAAACAAATTTACAATGTGTAAAGGAGTGAGTATTGCTAATTATGTTGCGATCATATCATTGCACCCACCAACGTCATTAACCCTTACCTTTATTATTTTATAAACCGCATATC